GCTGAGAATGAACAATGGAGCTGCATGCAAGGCTGGGAAGTAGAAGGCCGAACAGGGAAGGATTTGAATAGTTACCAACAATGGAAAACAAAGGGTTAAAATGAAACCCTTCCTGTAGCCTAACCCTGAGGACTCGCTGCTGAGAAGGAGAGTCTAGCAGAGAGGTCACTGTGGGCATAGCACTGAGCTGGTGAGTGACCTCCCACGCTGGAGCTCATCACCAAGGGATGGTCTCCCCTCCCACATGACCACCTCCCTGTGATCATAGAGACCAATCAAATGAGAGCACATTAGCATAGAGGCAAAACTTGGATGCTCCTCACTCAGGAGGCTCAATATAAGGGGCAGGTGCTGTGGGGGGCTTCTCAGTGACTCTGGCTGTTTTTCTCCCAAGGGCCTGAAATCCCCTCACCATGCTCTGGGCTCCCCTCATTGTCCTGCTGGGGACATGGTGCACAGGTGAGAACACAGGGAATGGATTAAATATATATTAAAGTTACGTCTGAAGCCAATTCAGAAACCACGTCACTAGGGGCCGGGGACGGGCAGGGAGGGTTTGACAGGTTTTTACCATATTTTCCAGGTTCCAGCTCGCAGACTGTGCTGACTCAGCCGCCCTCAGTGTCAGTGTCTCCAGGAAACACCGTGAAACTCTCCTGCACCATGAGCAGTGGGACCAGCATCAGTGGCCACCGTGTGTCCTGGTACCAGCAGCAACCTGGGAATTCTCCACGATACCTGCTGAGACACAAGTCAGATTCTGACAAGCACCAGGGCTCTGGGGTCCCTGCTCGCTTCTCTGGGTCCAAAGACACGTCCAGTAACACTGGCTATTTGACCATCTCCGGGGCCCTGACAGAGGATGAGGCTGAATATTACTGTGCTGCGTGGAAGGGTGGGAGTGATCCTCACAGTGACACAGACAGAAGTGGAAGTGAGACAAAAACCTGCCACCCGTCCCCTCCTGAGTACAATGAGGAGATCAGAATCTCATCTTTCTTTAAAACAAAAACCCTAACCCTTATGACTGTGAAGAAAAACTTGGAAATGTGATTTGAATGTAACCAGCGGCTGCCTGAATGTGCAGAGAGCCTGAAACAATAGCAACAGGAAAGTGTGATTTGCCTTATTTACCTCAACTGTGAAACATGCAGCTCAGGGGGCTCCTAACAACACCACCCTGGCTGTTTGAGGGGGTCTTTACTGATGCTGTTCCATCATAGCTCTGCTGGGGATGTGTCAGCAGACAACCCCACAAGGAGTCCCCAGCCTGCCTGGGTGAGTGCTGATGCCTCTCCCTGCTGTGCCGGAGACCTGGTGACAGAGGAAATGGTTCCAGAGAGTGGGGAAGCCCCTGCTGCACAAAATGGAGTCACTGGCAGCGCTCGCTCTTGTGCGGATGACCCCTGGCCCTGACAAGCCAAGGAGCAGAAGGGCCATGGTGTGGCGGCAAGGCCAGGACACAAGGGGGCTGTGCTAGGCAGGCATGTAGAGCCTCTAAATGTCTTCATCTGGCTCTAACAGACACAGCTCTCTATGGCCCTTGCTCTTTCCCTCCTCAGACTGTCACTGCTGTGGTTTGCCGGACACCTCTGCCCTTCACCCTGCTCAATCTCAAGTTACAGCCGCCTGTGACATCCCTAGTCAGGGCTCCAGAGATCTCGCCAGGGACCTGCAGCAAAGAGGGCGCT